ATTGGTTCTACCGATGCATTTTGTTGGACTTTTTATGTACTGAACCAAGACATAATGTGAGGTCGTGGTCTCCCATATACCACTTCGAACGGTTTTTGTTTGGTTGCTGAATAATGAGTGCTATTGTACCACTGTGTGTCTGTGTCCGTGTCTATTTCAACTATTTCAAAATCATTTTCGAACATGCACGTATATCAAAGCAACGAATATGACTCGCTTTGTGACACGCCAAGCTAGCGTGAATATTACATAAAATGTTTTTCATTTCTTGTCTAAATATTATAACGACAACTAAACGTCTCATAAAAAGACGAAAAAATAAAGAAGGAAGCAAGAACGAGAGTGATAGAAGGAACCCACATGAATAAAAAAAGCCCGAGCAATTTTCATAATTTTCAATAATATCGCTAAACTTTTTAAAAAACTTATATATATATATATCATTTTAACTATTTAAAAATTTTAAAAATTTAAAATAAAGTATATTAAAAGCATTATTTAAAAAAAAAAAAAATAATATATATATATATATATATATTTCCGCAAATTTGAGAATACTGTTCCAAAAAATGAATAATATTTAATGAATAAAAAAGAAAAAGAGAATAAAATGAGAAATTCAAAGCTTGAAAGTTGAAACTTGAAGAAGACGTTGAGGAAAGAACGAAGTAAACGAACTTGAGAGAGAGAGAGAGAGAGAGCAGCCCACGAGTTCCGAGTAGATCTTGATGCGTGATGTTGCGGCATTTAGCGACAAGATGGGGTATGAACCCTAAATCCGATGGCTATGGCCTTTTCCATTCCCATTGTGCATTTACGCTTCCTTTTCTCATCCACCTGTTTCTTCATACCTCTTTCTCTCTCCAATTTCAGTCCATTTCGCGAAATTTTCCCTTTTCTTGATCCGCCACAATTTCAGTCATCTGATCACGTGTCTTTTGATCCCGTGAGAATGTGATTGACTGCAATTTCTCAGGTAGCTGTTTCGTTCCCTCTCATTTCGTTTCCTTTTGTTGATTCACGATTGTCGTCATCACCGTAGGTGATTTGATTAGATCTTTTATCGATATCTATGTGTTTAGATCTTTGCAGGATGTTGATTTTGATTATGAGTCTGCATCTCTTTTTCTATAGGTGATTGATTTTGGGAAGTTTTCGCTGTTTTGATTTTTGACCTAGCCATCGACAATGGATATCCTTGGTGATTCGGATAAAAATTCTTACCGGAGGTATTTCGAATTGTTGCCTTCTGAATTTTGATTCCATTGCTTTTCTTTCTCCTTGGATAACATGTAATTGGGATTGCTTGTGCTTCGTTGTAGTCTTTCAGCGGCCGTATCTTATGGAATTGCTTCGATGGCTATGGTTTTTCTGAACAAGGCCGTACTTATGCAATACTCGCATTCAATGACCCTTCTCACTCTGCAGGTACATTTTTGCCATTGGGTTTCATTTTGATTTATCTCGTTCTCTTTTTTTAATTGCTTTCTATCTTTATTTGTGTTAGCAATTGGCAACCACATTACTTATTCACTTTGGTAGAAGCATGGGATACACGAAATCCAAGGGGCTTGATATGCAAACAGCTAAGAGAATTCTTCCTGTCTCGTTGTTCTACAATGCAAATGTGGCGTTTGCTCTTGCTAGCTTGAAAGGGGTTAATATCCCAATGTATATCGCCATTAAAAGACTCACTCCTCTTGCTGTTCTGATTGCGGGATTCTTCTCAGGCAAAGCAAGGCCCACGACACAGGTTTTCCTCAATGCATATTGCTTAGTTCCCTGAAATGCTTGTCTGTCTTGCGTAGCTTTGAAATTTAATCTATCTTTGGCTGTGAAAATCTTCGTATTACTGCCATCATGATGACTTGTGTTATAATTGTATAGCCAAAACCCTGCTTCTGAATCTCGAATCCATTGTAATAATTGTTCAACCAAAACCATGCTTCGTGTCGAATTCAGGTTATTCTTTCAGTACTCTTGACTGCTGCTGGGGTCCTTGTTGCTGCATTGGGAGATTTTTCATTTGACCTCATTGGTTATAGCATGGCCTTCACTTCTGTTTTCTTCCAGGTATGTTTTGAGTTGGTCTTCACTTTTGTTTTTGATAAGAGACTTAAATGGTGTTTTGGTCTAGTGTTTTAGTTTATACGGGCGAGGTCAATTTTTTGGGTTCATAGGAAAATGAGTTGGTGTGCTGTTTTTTACACAGGTCCTAGGGAAAGGAGAGCATTATAAGTAAAGAGATGGTGAGTGTTGTGTGAAGAGAGAATTATGAACTTTTCTTTGGCTCTTTGAGTAGGTTCAAGCTATGATGATCACTAAACTAGGATTTAATATCTATTAGTTACATTTAGCTACCAAATGTAGTAGGGTTAGGGTTAGACAGTAGTCTTCTAAGAATAGTCGAGATGCGCGCAAGCTGGCTTGGACACTCATAAATATCAAAGAAAAGAAAAAGCTTTTTAGCCCTCTTGAAAGGCAACTATTGAGTTTTGACCTTTGTATTTTTCTTTTCTGCAGTATATGTAATGAGTTCCTATCAGTTTTATCCTTAGAAATGCTTAAGGACGTCTGATAATTAAATGTTTGAACTGATGAATTCACATATTTCTCTCTCTCTTTTTGTTTATTCTTTGTTGCAGACTATGTACCTTGTATTGGTAGAGAAATCGGGTGCGGAGGATGGGCTTACTTCTATTGAGATCATGTTTTACAACAGCTTTTTGTCGCTTCCATTTTTGTTATTTCTCATTATAGCTACAGGCGAATTCCCAGATTCTTTATCACTTCTATTTGCAAAGGTCAGTTTCTTTTTAACCCATTTAATTTTTGTCGAACTCGTTAGTTTATTCAAGACAACAGTTCATAAGGAGAAATGCTAGATTCTGGAGTAGTTTCCCCTCGACCTTTGTTAGTATCGGCATACCAGGCATTCTGTGCCTCCTTTTCTTTACTGATGTTTTGAACTATTTATTTGGTATACCATAGCTTCTTTTGGTGGAAAGAACTGGACTGCTCGATACTGGTGCTTTTGTTGGCATGGACTCCTTTTTTAACAAATCTCGGGGAGTCGAGTTGAAGTGGCTTTTAGAAATGGTTTATGCATTAGTTTGATCGAGGCTGTGAAATGTTTTGTGCTTTTCGATTATGTCATCAACCTAGAGTTCAAACACTTTCTTGTGTGATATAAAAGATCGATTTCAAATGAAACACGAACTCTTGACAGGGCTTGTGCTGTTATTGCATATCTGATATCTCCCATTTAGTATGGATGCCTTCATGGCATAAATATAATTTGCAAATTAGTTAGAGTTCTTTCCATTGTTAGGCTGTGTGCTAAGCCTCAGACTATGATGCATGAAATTAAAGGAAAAAAAGATGAGATTTTGCTTGAATGTAGTGATTCATTGCTGCTGACTGAGTTTGAGATGACTTTTGAGAGTATATATCATTGCATAAAACAGATGTATTTTAGTTTATAATTATAATATTCTTTTTCAAAATTTTCAGAGTAATTCATTCTCCTTTTTGGTTATCTTCCTTCTATCATTGGTGATCGGGATTGTTCTCAACTTCACTATGTTCTTATGTACCATAGTAAACTCCGCTCTAACAACAACGATTGTCGGAGTCCTCAAAGGGGTTGGATCGACAGTAAGCGTTCTCTCTTTCTAAACTTTGTTATTCTATCTTTGTAGCCAATGAGTTATGTTATCTAAACAAAGCTCTCGTTCATCTTTCGTTCTACAGACGCTTGGATTTGTTATATTGGGTGGCGTGGAAGTGCATGCCTTGAACGTGACAGGATTGGTTATCAACACGGCTGGAGGTGTTTGGTATTCGTATGCCAAGTATCAGCAGAAGAAGAGCAAGCCACCGAAGTTGACATCGACATAGCGACTCATCATCGTAAGTAAGGTAGTATGGTAAAGATTAAAGTTGGTGAGAAAAAAGATATCTAGGTTGCATTTTACTTCATATTATAGCATTTGTGATTCGCTTGTCAAATAAGAATGTAGATGATACAAGCAATTTGTTTTCAATTGATACGTTTTTACCTGAAAATTGTTGTGCTTGAGCTTCAACCTTATTTGTTATTGTTGCTCGTGGAAACCTAATTTAAATGAAAATATGTGTAACTTGGATCTTAATTCAACTAAATGATTCGATCAAAACTGCCTCGAGAGAAGTACTTTGGAAGCCCTGTCACTTTAAATGCAAGTCGTAGTGACCTTTTATTTAAGATGAGTTATGTTTTAACCCATAATATTTGGATGTTATGAATTTTCATGACACCGTTCTTCATTTACGAACCATATTTTATTCTCCACGTTTCTGAACGACGTTGTTCTTGGAACGTACAACTATTCATTTGAAGTTTCACTTAACTATTGAATTGCTCCATGATGCATGGTAGAGTAGGTAGAATTTGTTTACATGAATATTCTTTTTTTAGTTTAGTGAACGAAGAAATTTTTAAAGACAATATTTTTGTGTTTTTATTTTATTAATTTGAAATTTGAATATATAAAATATATTTAAATTAAATAAAACTCAATTTAATTTTTGAATAATATTTTATTAATTATATGATATGGTAAATTAATAATTATACAAATTTTATAATAAAAAATTGAAAAATTGATTAATAATAATTTTTATTTAACCTAATATTTAATTTTAGAAGAACCAAATAAAAAATCAATTAACACTAGACACTTATCTATATTTATGTATATAAATTTATTTGACATGTTTATTTTTTAAAAAATTATCAATTATCTCGATATAACACGATTGATTGTTGCATTAATATTAGTCATAAAAAATAAAAATAAAAAGTTAGCTCTTCCAATCTCTACTCCTCAAATAAAAATATTTTATAAATAAAAAAAAATGGATATAATTATTAAAAAAATAAAATGAAGATACTTTAACCATTTTTGTCATACGTTCAACCTAAAACTATCATCCTCATTGGAGTTATCTATAAATACTCTCCCACCCCTTGGCCCTTCTAATCGAAACTGTAGCAAAGGAAACCAGACAGGACCGACCATCTGAACACGACCTGAGTCGGTTCCCAGTACCAAATCGACTTACGATTTTCAGGGTTTAGAGGCTTCGTCGTTTCGTTCGATCCTGATTTCTTCCATCATATGTAGAATGGGAGAGGACAGACGATAAGCACTCGAAACACCTGGTAACACTAATATCCGTTTTTTGTTATTGGATATTTTTGAATCTTGATATCGCCTGTTCTTCCGTCAGCAGTACGTATTTGTATCTTAATTATCGATAAGATTCTGTTCAAGATTTTGAAATAAAATCACTGAATTCGACCTTGAAAATCCTTTTCCTCCTGTTGATCTTGATTCGGGTTGAATCCCTTGGTAGATTGGTGAAGCAGGGAAATGTATAACGGTATTGGATTACAGACGCCGAGAGGCTCTGGCACTAATGGCCACATTCAGACGAACAAGTTCTTCGTGAGGCCGAAGACTGGAAAGGTTTCTGAAAACACCAGAGGATTCGAAGAAGATCAGGGCACTGCCGGTGTTTCCAAGAAACCTAATAAAGACATTCTCGAACACGATCGCAAGCGTCAGATTGATCTCAAGCGTCAGATTGATCTCAAGCTTGCCATACTTGAGGACAATCTCATTGATCAAGGTTATACGGCCGATGAAATTTCTGAAAAGTTGAAGGAGGAGGTTCGCAAGAATCTGGAGGAGGCTTCAGGTTCTAAGGAAAAACATGGGCCTTCTGCCATCGTAATTGCAGATAAGAGGTATGATCCTCATGTTTTAATGCATTTTTTGTCTTGCTAATAGTAATACTCTGTATATCTTTTGTTGATTATGATCTATGATCGTATTAGTAGTTTTGCGCCTGGTGTGATTTTCTTATTTTGTCTACAGAATGGATATCTAAATGGTGTTTTCCTTGATGGAATAGGGTATCAGTGACACAGACTCACCAAATTGCTGCGAGAAAGGAGGAGCAGATGAAAACATTGAGATCTGCTCTTGGGTTGGGTTCTCCGGACGATTCGGAAAAGCTCAAGGAAGGGATTTCTGATTCATCTAGAAGTGGAAGAGAGGGTCAAGATGCTGATACTAAGCGTCCTGAGAAGACGGAACATTCTTTTTTGGACAGAGAATTGAACTGGAAAAAGCATGCCGTTGATGACGATCAGAATGACGATGAAGATGACAAAAAAACGGTTTCGAAAGAGTTGAAAGATCATCAGAAGGATAGAAAACGAAGGGCTAAGGATGGTTCTTCTGATACTGATTCTGGTGGAGAGCGTAAGGGAACCAAGAAGAACTCGAGAGATAATAGAAGGAATGATTCTGAAAGTGACCTTGACAGAGATGTTGACAAGAAGTACACCGCCTCAAGAAAGACGAAAAATAAAAGGCATGATAGTGATGATTCTTTCGATGCTGATTCCGGTGGAGAACGCAAGGGAACCAGGAAGCACCCGAGAAAAAACCGAAGATATAATCCCAAAGGTGACCAGGACAGTGATGCTGACCAGAAACATATCACTTTAAGGAAGCATAAGAAAAACAGAAAGCACGGTAGTGATGATTCTTCCGGTACTGATTCCAGTGGAGAGCACGAGGAAACCCGGATGAACAGGAGATATACTCGAAGAGATGATCGTGAAAGTGATTTCTACGGTGATGTTGAGAAGAAATCCACCACCTCAAAGAAGCAGGAGAAAAACAGAAGGCAGTCTCGACGCGGCAGTAGGACTGATGAAGATATTGAAGAGAGAAAAAGGCAGAGCAGATATGAGGAGCATAGAGGGAGAAGGTAACGGTTCCATGTTCTTCGTAGTTTTGGCTTATTGTCTAGAATCATGATGTTTCTACTTTTATGTAATGAAACAACTTGATGTTTCTACTTTTATGTGATCAATAGGTTGCTTTAACTAGTTGAACTATACGTTCTACCTCACCGCTCATTTAGACCGCTCATTTAGAGACTAACTCCCACCTTGCATAGGGCAGCTTCAAAGTTCAAAGTTCGATCTCTAAATCAAATGGGTCTCAAAGTTCAAGCTTCACTCCTCTGAAAGATAAAACGGGTTAAGTAATTCTTCGAGCGAATCGACCACAAAGTCCACTTGAACATAATGAAATGACCTTATAGAATCTTCCATGACTGCCACTTCAGATAATTCCTCACTGCACAGAGAACATTGTCTTGCACTGAGGGAAAAGTTGGAACCCCTGTAGGATCATCAGGTTTTACAGTAATAGCATCTTCATGTATGAAAAACCAGAGTTCATCTGGAACGAGCAATCGTTTAGCTCTGGCAGCTTGCTCGGGCAAAAGTTGTCCATGAGGACACCTTATCGAAGCTGTTGGTTCGGAATCAGCTTTGGAAGGAGCATCAAGAATTTTCCTTTTAGCCCATTGTTGCAACCTACAAGTATGAGAAATAAACATGATTTGACTCAGATATCATGAGTACTACATAGAAGGTTCTGGCTCAATAGTGTTTCAATTGGTAGTCTACTTCATCCCTTGATTTCTCTACAGGTTGTCGGACGGAGCATGGACATTTCCAAAATGAAGAGGCTCCTTGTTAACATGGACAAGAGACTCCTTCTCCGATCAACATACAAGAACAAGAACGTTCCGATCAGCATACAAGTTTATCGAAGGTGGGGCATTCCACTCCCTCGTTTGTTTATTTCATCTCTTCGACGACATAGTTTCGTACTCCAAAGATAGTAATATACAAGCTTTAAGATGGAGAGAAGAAACGAGAAACAGTAACGGTCGTGAAAGTAGCTAAATTGGAGGTAAGAATATGAAATCAGCATGTCACAAGGCCACAAGTTTGAACACTCAAGCAAGACGCAAGACAAATTTCTAATGAACCATCAGCTAAGCAGAGCATGATAAGAGAATCCAAGAATTTTGAAACAATACCATGTCCTGGAAACAAAATATGTTCCATCTGGATAAAGCACCCGCATGAACAAACCAAACCTACATCGAAATAGAGCCATTGGCACAAGCAAATTTCCCTCGAAAAGTACAGAGAAAGACAAGTTCTATTGGCACAAGAACAAGAACGCCCACAACATTCTGTACTTCAAATTTTAGGGAAAAGAAACATAAAACAATCAAATGGCAACGAAATGGAGTAAAATAAGAATTGGGATTATTGCGCGCAAAGAAGAGCAAAATAGAAACAAACCCAGAAAAGAAAATCCAGTTCCATAAAAAGGGTAGCGATGATCTTAAGCAAAAAATTGAGAGGTTTACCAGGAAGTGGAGAAGCTTGGTGTGAGCTGAAGGTAGAAGAAGATCATCGAAGGAAGAAAAAGCTATGTCCCGGTGATTGGAGTTTGTAAGGCAGCAATTGTTTCGATTAATTTGAGAAGAAATTATGTGGTGGCATTGTTTACTGTGATGAATTATGAAAAAATAGCGACGAAAAAGGGAAAAGAGAGGTTGCAGGGTCTGTGAAGGGTGGGAGTCAGACCGGTCAGAGGAACAGAACGGACTTCAGGAGAGAGAGAGAGAGAGAGGGGACGGCGTTTGAGAGGGACAACTGTACATTTCTTTTCCAATTTTCCCAATTCTTTTAAAAAATTGGATTTTGGGGCTTCTACAAATGGGTCGGGTCGGGTTATTGTGGTTTTCACCGTCTTAATTTCTTTTTTTTTCTCTTATTTTTCATTTACGTCATATTTTGGAATTTTAAAAAATAAAAGAAGTTTATCCAATCGAATTATGATGTCATTATTATATTTTTTCCCATTTTTTTTAGTTGATTCTTTGAATGAATAATATATTTGTGAAAGGTACATTTTTAACTTTTAATTAGACTTAAATTTGCAATGATTTAAGAGAGATGGTACAAATAAATTATTGGTCACAGAAACTCTTGTAATTTCTCTAAACATCATATAGACAACATTAGTAGAGGATGCTCCTCACGATGTGCCAATATAGCCTCATTGAGAGAATGAGCTTCGCCCGACCTTTTGATCGCTCATAAATACGATGTTAAGAAATAACTAACTTCTCCTAACACCGGACTAGTTTGAACTGCATTAAGAAAAGTTTGTATGAAGCCCCCTCTCATTTCTATCACAATAGTTGATTTTAGGCTTTTAAACGTAATTTTGATCAAAATTACTTCAAACATATCAAACATGTTGAAACAGAACAGTAAGAGGGAAAAGGGAGATCTCACAGCCTCACAGTTCATACAAAGAATGACATTTGAAAAGACACGTTTTTCTCCCACTTACAAAGCGACTGTGATTTTGGCGCAACCTCCTCCAATCGTTTTACCCTGAGGAATCCTTGGCAGTATACCCATTGCTACTGAAAACCGTCCTCCAAACTTTAGGGAGAACACAAGTCATTGGCCCGATAGCCCCGGCGCAATATCCCCCCATTGCCCCGACTTGCACGACATTTCATCGCCATCTCCTGTACATGTCCTCTGAAGACGAAACTTACTCCCTACACATGCCCTCTGATCCATCCAAGTACCAAACGAACTCGAACATATGCACTGAATGTCTTCTTTTCTAGATTCCTTCAGTTTGGGGTGAGCTGAACGTCGGAACGCGATTAGAAGGTAGGCTGGACAGAGGAAAAGAACAAGTCGACTCCATTATCGAGGGTCGAACGAACTGTCTCTTTCACCAACACCACCAGAACTTCATTAACTTGTGTCACCAGTTCATCTCTAAAGTAATAGGCATCAACACTGTTACTCAAACCACGACTTTCTCTGTAGCATCGCCAGTGTTCCAGGCTTTGACAGCATACACCAAGGGCACTGTAAAGTGTACTGCTAGATGGTCCCCTTAAGAGCAATGGCAGTGTAAGCGATAATGTACTGTATAATGAATACTTCGTCACATTCAAGCCTCGAGATCAATGAAAGAAAACATAGTTTGTTGGCTATTCACCTGCATCGTTCGTTGATAACTCGAATGACAAAAGATCCTAGCGTCAAGGTGCTCAGCAGTTTGATAAGGTGAGGATCTAACCATGAAATAAGGAGTAGCTCCACCACTTTGCATTGTATAAGTGAAAGTTACTGCATTCAATTACGGGTCACGTTATGGCGTGCCCCAAACTCCTCAATCACAATCCCGGCAGCATACTCATTATAGAGCCCGACCTTCACAATTAGGCCAGGCATACACTTGTGCCACAGTTTTGAGTCTTATCCATCAATGATGTTTCCTACAATAGGAGCCAAACAGCTTATAATTCATCTCCGAAACACTTTCCGAATCTGCTCCTCGCTTAGATGCTTACTGCTCAAGGTGTTGGATTTCTTGCACCATCTGTGCTTAACACAGCAGTGAAGACAGTGAAAACAGTGATATTACTGCTCAGGGTGAGAGCCCTGGCTTCAATGATATTAACGCTTTGATATCCTGCTGTGCTTTCCATGAATCTTGGAATCATGACAATGTTATGCACATTGAGAAGACAACAGACTCCAAAATAGTGTACAAAGCATAGCATAGACGCAAACCTCGAGGAGGAACACATCTGAAATGTCCACAAACAGAAGGTCGAATCGTTGCTTGGTCAGTAAATGAGAACTTACGTCGATCTCCTATTATTCCAAGCCAAAATGGCAATAGTAGTGCTGTAATCTTGAATAATTTTGTGTTAAACAGCTCCTCAAGCCATCATTGTCATCCACCTTTGATAAAACTTAAATGCCATGTCAGGCTCTCCTATTCTACGGTACTTATCAAAAATAACTTTAAATGGAACAATATCCATTGGCAAACCAGATTCATGCAACTTGAGAAATAGATCTTCTGCCTCCTTCATTTCACCACACATACAGTGACCTCTTATTAGTTCGGTGTACGTTATCTTATCTGGTTCGTATCCCTTTCGCAGCATTTCATCATATAATTGAAGTGCAAAATGAATTTGTCCACACTTATAAGCACCACTTATCAACAAATTATAAGTAACAACGTCTGGAAAAAGACCCAACAAAACCATATCCTTTTTCAGAGAATAAGCATTAAATATGTTACCTCCTTTAATTTGTGCGTGAATCAACGCATTGAACGTAAATAAGTTTGGTAGCACACCAGTGGCCAACATCTGATCCCTGATGGAGATCGCGTTGCTTAAATCTCCATACCTTCCATAACAATCAATTATCAGGTTCCAGATATGAGGCTCAGGAACCATTGATTTTTCTAACATGGAATGAAGAAACTCATTAGCTTTGATAACATCTCCACTAATGCATAGACCTTGAATAATCATTTTGTATGAAATTTGATCCGGAGAAACACCCATTCTTGACATGACATCATGGATATAGTACGCCTCGCCAAATTGGCCCTCTTTACAAAGATCACTGATTAGAGTGTTGTAAGTAAAAATATCAGGAAGAAAACCCCTCTTAAGCATATCAACAATATAGCCAAGTGCAATTTTCTTGTCTCGATTCAAACAAAGCCCGTGAATAAGAACATTATATGCAACAGCATCGACCTTTGTCTTCTTTTCAACCATCTCATCCCATAAAGCAATAGCCTGCATCATATCTCCACTTTTAAAACAACCATCCATCAGTATAGTTGACGTGATTGCATCGTCCGTTGTCTTAATATCATCATCTAGGATATCTTCAAGGAGCTTCCAAGCATCGTCCAAGAGACCTCTCTTGCATAATGCATGTAAAAGTATGTTATAAGTGATTCTACTTGGCCTAATACCACCATTAGCCATCGTATAAAATAGGTCAAGAGCTTTATCCATATTCCTACAAAGGCAGAAACCCTTAATAATAATGTTGTATGTGGCACAATTGGGAGAAGGACCCATTTCTAACATTTCCCTAAAAAGAGACTCTGCGATCTCCATATCACAGTTTATGCACAGTCCATTCAGAAGATAATTGTGTGTAAGTAAATCAACAACAAAACCTTCTCTTATCAACTTTCTGCGAAGCAAAAGAGCTGCTCCTAACTTTCCTTTCAAACACAAATCCCTAACCATGAATGTGTAGTCAGGCTGAACGGCATCCAAAATGCATTTCTGAAGACCCAACTTCGCTAAAGATATGCTTTCCCTACATAATTTGAGGCATTCAACAGATTTTACAAGATGGTACTTTGTAATCATTGAAGGCATAGAAAATCATTACAATTTGTCTGATATCACAAGACAATTGGAAAACTAATATATTCCATCAGTAGTCAACTTTTTTATTTTCTTATCCTCATTACTACAAGAAATAATAGTATATCAATAATTTATGTCATTGAACTAAAATATCTATTAAGAATACTCAACTCTAAAGAAAGAAGCAATTAGCAGCAAAGTAGAAAAAACTAATCCCGATTAATTTGACTGAATATAAAGATGGATGTGAAATGACTCATTCCCCAGAAACTTAAATCAACTGACAATTGTTGTGTACTAATGAAGAAACACGGAGATTAAACGCGGAGGAACCCCGGTTCTTAGAAGCCTCAGAACCGAAGCTTTCCCTTGGTTCCCACAAATTCCCTAAAACGTTATTGAGGTGAGGCCCCACTGACATACTCTTATCTTTCCTGTGCGTTCTCTTCAGCTAAACCTTCAATCCACGGTCACTGATTATAGCTTGAGTGCAATGTTGACTTGCAACAACTCGCATACTAAGGATAGTTCTATGCTCACTTAAGCACCTTCATTCGCCAAGAAGACAGTGGTTTGAGCCCAGAAAATGTGAACTAGAGCATCTACTACTCATTTAATATAGAATTCCCCCAACCAGCTACTTCAGGATGCATAGGCTCGTAGAAAGAGTTGTGGTCGGTGCAAATAATTTGTGGTTGTCACGATATTTAAAGGACATAATCACTCCATGCATTAAATAAGGTTTACCTATATTGTAATAGCCCAAACTCACCGTTAGCAAATATTGTCCTCTTGGGCTTTCCCTTTCGAGCTTCCCCTCAAGAATTCTAAAACGTGCCTACTAGAGAGAGGTTTCCACACCCTTATAAAGAATACTTTATTCTCCCCCCATCCGATGTGAGATTTTACATATATGGTATTGTTCATCAAATAAGCAGGATGGCTTTCATCTATCCATGCTCGCATTGAAGAATAGATGTTTGTGTATTGATATTTCGAACTACCATAGCCAATGAAAAGAAAATTTGATTAACCCATCAAAAAAGAAAAGCAAAAACCACCTCATAGCTTTCAAACGGTCCAAGCTACCCTTGAGCAGAGCGTCCAACACGTTGAAAACAGCCCGCGGATTTTCTTCGCCCTCAAAATTGTGCTTTTCTGAAAAACAATCCGAGGATCTCAACTCGCAATTGTCATCGACGGTTTCCATCAAACTTTTAATGGCATAGGGGAATGAATCCTCATCCTCGTTAGACCTATGAATGTAATGTCCAGAATAAGAAAGCGTAAAGAAGTTCACTGATTCAAAAACAGATCAAGCATTAAAGAAACAAGATGGTGTATTTGCACGAAGAAGATGCTCTCCATTTCTTAACATTAACAAACAAAAGGTCGATTAATTACTGTAAAGTCAATGAAGTTTCGCACTCCTTTCAGCCAAGGCAAACCAAAGACTCGAAGTGTGTAATCATTTTTACCTAGCCGCCTCCTCAATGTTAGGTCGGCCATACAAGATGGCGAACATCCGAGAAAAATCGCGTTTGAGGGAGTTAAGGGCTCCGTTAAAAAATCCAAGCACAATAATGTGGGACGGTGGCGATTCAATTGCTAACTGAGAACAACCAAAAATAACAAGTAAACACCATATAGGAAAATCTATGAACAGAGAAATGTGTGATAAAGGAAAGGTAGAGAATAACTCACCGCCGTAAACGCCATCGAGATTGCCAAATCTTCTGCTCTTGATTTCACTTTGTAGTCCGAAAGCAACGAAGAAAATACGTGATACAGAAAGCCGAAGTTTCGACTATGCCAGTAGAGTCCAACGGCTGAGGCGAGGTTTCTGTAGCCGGCTGTGCTCCGCCGTCGCCCTCGTCGTCGTTCTAAGCAGACTGCAGTCCCATCCTTCCTTCATTCGATTTGCTTTCAATTTTACATTTTCGGAAATTTCGCATTTTGCTATTGGGCCGGGCCCAAAATTGATCGAGTTCGTTCGCCCAAGCCCACTACTATTTGTAGCAGCCCAAGCCAAGCCCACTGCTAATATAAACACTAGCCACGGTTCACTTCACTTTAAAACACGTCTTGTAGGGTGAGGGTTTAATTCCTCTCTCCAACCAATGTGCGATCTCAAGGTTTGTGAATTCTGACTAGACATTACACGATAACCGAGTTAGTATTAAAAGTGAATCATGTACTGTTTATGATTCAAAATTGTGTACCATTTACAAATCCAACTAGACATGACAAAACATCCGAAACAAAAATTTGCTAACTAGATATCGCAAGATCATAAAAGGATCATAAGCCTGACTTCGATTTACTAAAAATAAAGTTCAAAACTTTAATTTTTATACTAAAATTATGATTTTAGCCCTTATAAAAAGAAAACTGATTCTTGAATCCTTTCACGCTCACGACACGTCAAAGGTACAGCAGAAGTGTTCTATCAAAAGTTCTACAGAAAGTTCTATTGAAATTCTAACAAAAAAAAAAAAAAATATATATATATATATATATATATATATATATGATTTGGGAAATTTGTACGGGAAGTTAGGCGATCGAGGCGCGCTATTCGTTTGGGTTGGAATCTGTAAACCCGCTCAGTTTCTCTCCTTCTGCATCAACGTCAACCAGGAATACTAGAACAACGCTCTCCACTCATCACTCAGATCCCTGCAGCTCCCGCCAACTTTACTCTCTCTCGCTCTCGCAACCTTCCCGGCCAGCGTCGTCTCCGCCTGATCAGAGGTACTTTCCTTCTCAATTCGCTTCGTCATTTGTTTCTGCATTTCGTGTTTTTTTATATTGCTGTTCATTGTTTCGTCTCTGGTATCTGTTCATTCTCCATTCGCCTCGTGATTGTCGCGTTTGGTTTATTTGATCGATGCTTCATTGTTTAATGGCTGGTACTTACTTCTTCAGCTGTATTGTGATTTATGCAATTCGGCTGGTTGATTACTGTTCAGAACTTGTTTGATTATTGCAATGTCCTTCTTCATCTGCCTCGTGGTTTATGCATTTCGTTAATTTGGTTGTCGTTCATAGTTTTATCATTGCTCGCCTTGTGATTTACATTTCGTATATGGTCACAGGTTTACACTTCTAATTCCTTGTTCATCTGCCTCGTGATTTATGCATTTCGTTTATTTGATCACTGTTCATAGTTTGATCACCGCTGATTTTATTTTTTCTTCAGCTCTTGATTCTGATCACATTCTTTTTAATTCTGATCATTATGTTGTGCGCCGACACATTAATCCTCACGCTATGTAGGAATGTGGAATCTATTTGGGCAGACAGAATACCCAACCTTGTATTCTTTGAGCTAGATTTCTGTTATATTGTCATTCTTATGAACGGTTATGAATCAATTTGTTTAGGTCATCATTGTTGATTGCCTTTGAGATTTTTGATACTTCACGTGTTCTCAAGTTTTCGGTGGTAAATGACGAGTGCTAATTTGCTGTCGTTTGTTTTCACTTTTAAGGGGAGACATCAGGGTAATTGGTGATGAAGTTTTTACTGGACAAATGAGCATACTGCCACTATGCCGTTATGATAAGTTTGATCGTGCATGGCAGCTTGCACTATAGACACTCACAATGCTAGGATCACGTCAAAGGCCATACTTAAAGCCATATATATACATTATTATTTTGGTTTCGGTGGTCAGCATATTTCTATTTGGCACCTACGTTTTTCCACCAAGAAGCTCTTTCATTTGTTATATCTTTAGTGAGTGTATCAATGGTGAATTTAATCAGCGCCGGCCCATTGCTTCCCGGGAATTAACTGATGCAGAGATTGCATCTCGGGTTGTAATTAGGGAAATTTTGAAGAGACCTCTAGCTCAATCCAAGAATCCGAAAATTGCCTTTATGTTTTTGACTCCAGGTCCACTACCCTTTGAGAAGCTCTGGCATAAATTTTTTGATGTAAGGCTTCACGTTCAACCTTGGAGCTTTATTTTTATTTTTATTTTATTTTTACTATTCAGTTTGTATCAGAGTTTATCTGTGTTTTACAATGATATTTCTAGGATAACCATCATCCCCCGCCCCCCAAATTAAATCTCCGTCGGGTAAAAATTTGATTTATGGAGGATTTGAGACAAAACCTTGGCTCTAATTTGAAATATCACATTCAGGGAATTTTTAGCTATATATATACGCAAACATGCATGTTGAACTCATCTTTATTGAAGAATTTTGGAAGAAGATGAATACTTATGTAAAACCTTCCTGCACCTTCAGTCAGCTTGACTTTATTGACTTAGGTGCTTAATTCAGTCCTTGTCTTTCAGGGTCACGACGACAGATTTTCTATATATGTGCATGCGTCTAGAGAAAAAGTATCACATTCAAGCCCCCATTTTGTAGGACGTGACATTCGCAGTGAAAAGGTGGGTCATGCAGAATCTTTGTTGTTGTCCGCTTGTCTATGTAGTTATTAGTAGTAAAGTAGCCTTATCGGATGCTTGACATGAAATGAGTAGAAATAGGCATAATTCTCTCAAGCCACGGCATTTGATATCTTAAATTGCACATTTTTAACATGTCTAATCCAACGACGATTTTGGGTTTTCTTGACGTGTCTTAGAATTGTCAAATTGTCTTCAAAAGATGGATGCAAAAGGCTAACAAATGACCAATTGTCGACAATATCTTTCATCCCTTTTGGCTCTGTGTTATCTTTTGTTCATCAGTGTTGCGTATACGCAGAGTTTATTATTTGATTCACAGTGAATTTTTCGGCAAACTTCTTTTCTGGTCTTCTAAGATCCGATGTAGTACTTGAATGTGATAGTTCTTCTGGAAAAGGGTGTCTTGAGAGTGGCAATGGATGTCTGAATATTGTATCGACTTCATGGGAGTCTCTTCTGTCATTATATAATGTCATGTATCAGCCCTTGTATTCATGGATGATGGTAATGATGAATTTGTTTTGCTTCAAATATTTATAGCCTATGATGTGAAATAGTTGGTGATTTAAACTATTTGCCAACAATATTCAGGTAGCCTGGGGAGAAATGTCTATGGTTGATGCAGAAAAGAGACTTTTGGCAAATGCACTTATAGACCCTGATAATCAGCACTTTGTTTTGTTATCTGAAAGGTTGTTTTTTTTTTCTTTTTCCTTTTGTCTTTTTGTAGTATAATATTTTGCGATGCAATAAGTTCTTATCTGATCACTATCTGTACTTCTGTTTCAGTTGTGTACCTCTTCACGAATTTGAGTATGTTTATAACTATTTGATATTTACAAATGTCAGCTATATTGATTGGTAAGGCAACCTTTTATTTTTTCGTTACTTGTTTACTTGAACTCCTTGACCAATCTAAATGACTATGATCTTCCGCCAATTTGATATTCGACACTTCATATTACAGTTTTGATGATCCTGGTCCCCATGGAAGTGGTAGGTATTCAGAGCGCATGTTACCTGAAATTGAAAAGAAAGACTTTCGTAAAGGTTCTCAGGTATATGTAGCGCAGTCATATATTAATTACTAGTACTACATCCCAATCCAACTGCTCTTACAATTTCTAAGATCTTCATGGGTATATATGTGTGACAAGGAGAGGTACATGAATGAACTGAGACAACATCTCAATAAGAGCAATTTTGAGGATAGGATGACTACGAAAGATTTAAAGGAAATGAAAGTTATTACCTATACCAACAAGGTGCACCTTTCTTTTCGGTGGCTCAATAATAGGAACTCTAGGGTTAAACGTGCTTTATTTGCAGCAATTCTATGTTGGATGATTTCCTAGGAATTTTCCTTGGATGTATGTGAGTGAGGACAAATGTCGTGTTGGTTTGTGGGGATATCTTCACTCTTAAGAAGCAAGGAGTAGGTAATGTGACCATGTCATAGGGGATGCAAGGGAATATGGGGCCATCAAGTGTCGAATCCAGATTCCGAATCCTAGGTATGAGTTGTTACAAATTGTATCAAAGCAGTACTTCTCCCAGTAAGATGTGTTTAGGGGACTAACCAGCGAAAGATGGTGGACATGTGACACTTGAGTAAAGGAGGGGTACATGAATAAACCAAGACAACATCTGAATGAGAGCGATCCTGAGGATAGGATGACTAAGAAAGGCTTAAATGAAAGTTATTATCTATATCGACAAAGTTCACCTTCCTTTTCGGTGGCTCAATCATAAGAACTTCATGGTTAAGCATGTTTTACTTGGAGCAATTCTATGTTGATTGACCTCCTAGAAATTTTCCTGGGACACATGTGAGTAAGGACAAAGCATCCTGGAAGGGCTCGTGTTGGTCTGGGGATATTTTCACTCTTAAAAAGCAAGAAGTAGGTAACATGATCATATTGTTGGAGATGTAGAGGAATGTTGGAGCTATCAAGTGTCGAATCTGTATTACAAATCCTGGACATAGATCATTACAATATAATAAAAAATTGGATATGAACATTGAGTAAATATCATTTTATTGCTCGGTGTGGGGGTGTTGGGTGAGACATTTATTGTATAGAATATGTTCATTTTTGGGAAATTATTCTCACGAAATATGACTCCATTTTCTCCAGGTGGGTAGTAACTTGTAAAGGGACTATCCTTTTTCCCTCCATTACTTTCTTCATGTTTTATCTCTTCGAACTGGGATGGATGTTAATGAACCTAAAAATTTGCATCCTTTGTTGAGGATATAAACCTGGCAGATAAAATAAATGGAGTCAGATCCGCATCCCTCCAATCCTTATCCATCTTCAGTCTTGGTATTAAATTCTGTAGTAGATGGAGAGCACTTTCATCACAGCTGTCAATTATGATGAAATCTTTAATTTTTTCTCGATAGCATATGGTTGGAATACTCACTCTAAGTATTTATAACGTTGTAAATTTCAGTGGTTTTCCATGAAGCGACAGCATGCTGTTATTGTGATGGCTGACAGTCTTTACTATATAAAATTCAAGCTTTACTGTAAGGTAATCTATTTGTTGTAATGACCTCATCTGTTGTGATGATTGTAGACCGATTATCAGATTGCTTGTGCTATGCTTGCATGACTTTTTCTTGCTTTCTTGTAGGCTAGATCTGGAATGTTAGTTCTATATTAAACCAATATATAAAATCAAATACATGATACTTTTGGTTTAATCATGTGGTTTAGCTCTTTAGCTAATGGAATATCAAAATTGGAGTGATCAAGTTAACACTTGTTGCACTGACCTGTCTTGTATGCCAAAGCGTTTGTTCATTCCATCTTTGCTTCGTGCAGGCAGGTTGGCTGAATATGGCGTACTTCTGCTTAGAAATGGATACTTGAGTGTTGAAAGATATGCATGATTGTCATATATTAATTTATAAGACAAATACTATAGTGTCATTTTGAAAGGGTATTATTACCTTCGTTTTCTTATTCGGCCTACTCTGTTTAATGAGTTTGTCTTCGTTTACTCACATTGATTTGATTGTCGTAAATCTAATACATAATTATTCTGTGTTTTTCTTTTTCAAGTCATCGCCCATCACAAATCTGTCCATTAACTTGCTTTCTTCTTGCTCGACATTTTTAGCGAACTAAGGATGGCCCGAACTGCTATGCCGACGAACACTATTTTCCAACCTTTTTCAATGTCAGTACATTATCCATCTGTAAATAAACAACTGTGACTATGTTACATGTGTTTTATCGGTCTAAGCTGTTCTTTTACATCAGATGATCGACCCTGGTGGAATTGCAAATTGGTCCGTAACACATGTAGATTGGACTGAGGGAAAGTGGCATCCAAAATCGTATAGGAATCAAGATGTCACCTATGAACTTCTGAAGAATATTGCTGTACGTGACAGATAAAATTACTTCTTCTGCAATGTTTATGTTTCTAGTATATGAAATCTTTGACTGACAAATTTTTATTTTGCTCACAGTCGTTAGACAAGGCCGCTCACATTACGAGTACTGCACCGGTATGTAATTATTTTAGTTTGGGTTCTCGTTTTTTATTTTCCATTTTGGTTTAAAAATTAAAGTCTTTTTTGGGAAGGAGCTATGAAGGATTAGAAACATGCTCCTTTCTTGAACTAGAAAAATCTAAACAACTATTATGATCATGAAGTTTCCTTTCATTTTCACCTGGGCCTTTAGAATTAGAAAGTTTATACGTATAAAAAGTGAGTAATAAAATGTAACAGCCCAGGTCCACCGCTAGTAGATATTGTCCTCTTTGGGCTTTTCATTTCAGGTTTTCCCTCAAGATTTTTTAAAACGCGTTTGTTAAGAAGAGGTTTCCACACTCTTATAAAGGATGTTTCGTTCTCCTCCCCAACTGATGTGAGATCTCACAATCCACCCCTTTTCAGGACCCATTGTCCTCGCTGGCACTCGTTATTTTCTCCAATCGATGTGGGACCCCCACCAAATCCACCCCTCTTCGTGGCCCAACATCCTTACTGGCACACCACCTCGAGTCTACCCCCTTCGGGTAACAGCCTCCTCTCTGGCACATCGCCCAATGTCTAACTTTGATATCATTTGTAACAGCTCAGGCTCACCACTAGCAGATATTGTCTTCTTTGGGTTTTCCCTCAAGGTTTTTTAAAACACGCTGCTAGGGAGAGGTTTCCACACCTTTATAAAGGGTGTTTCGTTCTCCTCCCCAACTGATGTGGGGTCTCACAAAATTTTGTCACTCATGATGCCTTGCCCCTAAATGGTTTGGATATAACAATGTGTAAATATATGAGTAAAATGTTAATTTAGTTTTAATAGTAAGGAAAATAATTTTAGGTGAGTTTAATATGACTGTTATGAGTGTGGAAATGAAAAGTACATGCACGGTTGGAGAGAGTATTGTAAAAAGGAAGAGAGAAAAGAGATTTTTATTTTTTTTAGTACAATAGCAATTTAGTTAATTACAAGTGATTCAGAAATGATTTTTTTGCTTTGATCCTGCAGAAGAGGGTGATGTTCAAACCCTGCTTGTGGAATGGAGTGAAAAGACCATGCCATCTATTTGCTAGAAAATTTTATCCAGAAACTCTGGGAAGATTGTCCCACCTTTTCTCTAACTACACGGTGGTTGTTTAGGCCATCTCGTTGCCCTCCTCGATCGAGACATCATTTAAGAGGTTAGAACAATGTGGTTGATAGTTTTATACCGTTGGTTTGATTATACGATAGGATAACTAAAAATTGTATTTTGACCATGCATCCAATCCAATGGTTTTAAAAGGAACAACCACATCACACAATGAATCATGTCCCTATTTCTCACCGATGAGCCTTCTTTCCAGAGCTATAGCTGATTCCTTTTGTGTAGAGTCGTCGAAAGTGAACCTGAAGCTGCCATGGTTGGCTGCCTTTCTTTGGTTTGTGGCTTGTCTTCTCAGCCATAGTTTTATAAAAAGGTTCAATTAAATTAAGAAATTGAGCTCATAGATGAGACACACCTGATAAGCAAGAACTGAACGTCTCGTTATATAAAGTAGATGTCAATCAGCTGGGGATTTTTGCTTCTTATTTCCTTATTTTTGTGTTGTCATATTGATGGTGTTACTGTTATTACCTTTTCTTTTGTTTTCTGTTTTCATTTAGATGTAATTTAAAAAGATAGCTTCAGCTTCATTGATTACCGAACGAGATTGAATCGAACTTGTTTGAGCTTTGCAGATATTTGTAGCTTTGAAAAACACAGAAACTTGCTTAGTCGGGTCTTCCTTTTATGTGAATTCGTAGAGTAAGCAGAGATCCAACTATACGATCGGAGTTTAAACATGTAAACCATAGGTCCCCTGAATATCCATCATCAGCCAACCCCTTTTCTGACTTTTGTTCTACTAAGCAGTTAATTTTTAATCCAAAGTGACCATATTTATGATCATATGTTTGTTTTGGTACGAGTACTTAAACTCAAGTTTTATTTGTTTTCTTTTTTTTTTGTATGATTGAGGTTCACAACATTGTCCTGAAGGGAAAGTCATAAGACTTTAGGTGGTACTAAGCAGTTAATTTTTAATCCAAAGTGACCATATTTATGATCATATGTTAGTTTTGGCACGAGTACTTAAACTCAGTTTTATTTGTTTTCTTCTTTTGTATGATTGAGGTTCACAACATTGTCCTGAAGAGAAAGTCATAAGACTTTAGGTGGTAAACAAGACGTTTTGGAATGAATATAGTCGACCAAACAAATTTTAAGCGTTTATATTTTTACAAGTTATTCAATGCTATTCAATACATTCTCCCCCTTGCATTATGAGAATCTGATTTATTTGAGCAAACTTCACTTGTCATATATTTTGATAAATATTATGCATTTATAAGTCAAGAAACTGATTATAATTGTGATGTATGCCAGTGTATCGACATAATCTCGATGAAATTAGTTCTTCACCTAACACGATTCTATAATAATGGTATTCAATTATGGTCCAATAATAATTAATGTTGTACCTAATTTACGTAATTATTTCATGTATATACTAATCATAAAGAAGCTATAGAAAAGCCATAAATTACTCAGCATTCAATACGTTTCTTGAATGTCTTAGGTGGCAATCCTTTGGTAAAGTTATGGAATGAACGGTAGCCTCAAAGCTTCCTTCATGCCTTGCAGATACCTTTAACGCTTTCTTTGCAGCTTTTGATGGATCCATTCATGGATTATTTCAATAACTACCCAACATGCGACAACAAAACTAAAAGCTTCCAAACATTTGATGCATAAGGAAGGATAGTCCTAACCTATGTCATTATCTTTATGGTTTCCTTTCTACGCTTTCCCTCAAGATTTTAAAACGCGTTTATTAGCGATAACTCACCATCCTTATAAGAAATGTTTCGTTCACCTTTCCAATCGATATGAGAACTCACAATCCACCCTCTTGGAGATCAGTGTCCTTACTGACACACCGTTCGGTGCCTAACTCTAATACCATTTGTAAAAATCCACGATTAGTAAATATTGTTTCTTTTAGCTTTTTCTTCCAACCTTTCCAAGGTTTTAAAATGCATACAATATGAAGAGGGTCTGGCCCGACTTCAACCAGTGTCTTGCACTATTTAATGACTCATTTTGATATTATTTATAACCGTCCAAGTCTACCATTAACAAATATTATTCATTTTGACCCGTTACGAATTAAATATGCGTATACTAAAGAAAAGCTTCTACATCCTTACAAAAAAATGTTTCGTTCACATCTCTAACCAAATCTATAAAATTTTCGTCTAAATCTAATTCAACTCAAATAAGCTCGATAACTATTTGTATTAAAATTGCTTTTTCCAAATAATGAGCTACTAATATCCAACTTTTTAAATTACGACGGACACATTTAAAATGATCCAGCAGAAAAAACACGTGGATGGAAATTTAATGATTAAAAAAAATGAATAAATTAACTCTTGGGACTTCGTGCCGCCATTTCCCTTCACAGAAGAAACCAAACTGGAACTGCGTGGACGTCGTACGACCACCCAGTCAACGGCCACGATCCATTCTCATCCTCCAAATTAATTTCCACCGTCGCTTCAAAATCCCACCGCCGATAACAAAAGCGCGGGAAAACCAAACCTAATCCATCTCATATACGGTGTATCACTGCCAACCAACGGTCACATACACAACTCTCAGTGGAAGTGGAACAGATAGATTGAACTTTGGAGCCGATAAATCTCGTTTCCTCCATTACACTGTAGCTCTGTGTTTTTAGGGTTTCAGGTCTTCTTCCATGGCGCCGAAAAAGCGAAGCAAGATCCAGGAGGACGAGACGGCGGCGGCGAAGCCGGTCCCGGTGTCGTCGAGGGTGACTAGGAGGTCGCCCCGGCTGGCGGCGAACTCGAAGGCCGATTTGACGGTGGAGGAGCCTGTGGTGAAGTTGCCGAAGAAGAAGAAGGCGAAACGTGCTCCGAAGGAGAATGAGAAGGCGGAGGAGGTTGAAAATGAGGGAGAGGATCTTGACGCTGCCTCGGAGAAGCTTGGCGTGGAAGCTAAGAACAGGGCGGTTGTGATTGAACATTGGTAAGATTTTTTGGTTCGATTTCTTGCTTGGAAATGAATCGAAAATTGGTTCGGTTAATTTGAAGTTCAAGTTTCTATGGTTTGAAGTCTCTTAGAAATCTGCATTGGCACTAGGCGTATAGTGTAATACTTCAAGTCTACCGCTAGCAGACATTGTCATCTTCAACTTTTTCTTTTGGGCTTCCTCTCATAAAGTGCTTCGTTCCCCTCTCCATCCGATGTGGGATTTCACAATCCACTCTCATTCGAGTCTTGTGTCATTGTTCTAGGTTTAAAAAATGTGTTTACTAGAGATAGGTTTCTACACATAAAGTATTTTGTACCCCCATCCAACCGACGTGGGACTTCAAAATCCACTCCTGTTCGAGGCCAGCGTCATTGCTGGCACTCATTCTGCTCTCCAATCAATGGAATCTCACAATCTATTTCCTTCGAGTTTCCATGTCCTCACTGGCACTCGTTGCGTTTTTCAATTGATAGAATCTCACAATCTATCTTCTTTAAGGTCCAACGTCCTCACTGACACTCATTCTGTTCTCCAATCAACGTGGAATCTCACAATCTACTCTTTTGGGGGTCAGCGTCCTGACCGCTGGGGTCTGATACCTTTAAGAGGGAAAAACACGTTTCTTTTTAACAAAAAGTCTTAGTCAGATTAAAGTAAGGGGCAATTGTTTCTCTTTGTTCTTGCATTTGCCTGTGTTTTTTGCAATGGAACTTCTAATGAATGGAAAGGAAAAGTACAATAGAAACATAGTGATTCTTCTGCCTTTCACATGTGATGTGCAGTGTTTGTTTTGTGACATTTTCCCCATTTTTTTGTCTGTTCCCTTTGTAGTAAGCAGTGCCAATCGTTCAAGAAAAGGGCGATGGAGGTGCAGAATGGTCTAGAGAAGGGTGTTCCTGGAATCACTGTTCTGCTCAACCCTGATAAGGTAATCTTTTGACTTCTTCAACTCTTACATGCTATGCTTAATAAAAAAACAATTAATTTGGGTTCTTTAGTTTGGTAACCAAGCAGATTGTTCTTCATTTTCCTTCCATCTTGTAGAAGGTGGAGGTTTTAGTTTACAAGCATAATGCTTTACTTTTTTAAGCTCTCTTGTTCTCTGCTGGGTAGAGTCATAGTGAGGTTGAGGTTCTAGAGGGAAATCTTGAGTTTGCGACTTTAGGACTCAGGTTTTCAGCTGATTCACGAGCAAAAGTTAGAATTTGCACTTGGGAATCATTGATTAACTTTGAACTTTTAGGTTAGGAAAACATCGCAGGCACCTATGTATGTTAGGAATCACAACTCTCCACAATGGTATGATATTGTCCACTTTGAGCATAAGCTCTCATGGCTTTACTTTGGACTTCCCCAAAAAGCCTCAGACCAATAGAGAGAGAATTCTTTTGATTATAAACCCATGATCATTCCCTAAATTAGTTGATGTGGGACTTTCATCATCCAACAATGTATTCCGTGATCAGATTGTTGGACACACTGACCCATATCTCTACAATGATATGATATTATCCACTTTAATAAATCCCCACAACCTCTCCTTCTCTTGCAAGAATGCTATGAGAATATTGTGAAGGAAAGTTAAAAGTATATGGTGAAAGTGTTTATTCAAAGAAATTGTTGTTTGTTTTTCCCTCTTCTCATTTTGTTTTAATAATTATGCAGTCAAGAAGAGGGTGCTTTGAAATTCGGAGTGAAGATGGCGAGAAGTTTATCAGTCTTCTGGTAATCCTTTTATTTATTATTATTTTCTTGAAACAACCTTTAACTGTCTAAAATCTTCCCATTTATTCTGATAAGTTCACACATAACCTCATTGCAACAATACTCGTTAGACGAGATCAATAAAGTCCCATATAACATCATCATAGGTTGCGTTGTGTTAGGACATGAAGCGACCGTTTACACAAATGAAGGAACTGGACATGGAGGAGGTAATTTCAGATATCATTGAGAAGATAAAAGGATAATGAGAAAACCCTTGATGATATATATGATGACTAATTGGCTGGCTGCTGGCTCATAAGGATTATACACTGTTTTTTTGTGGGAGTAGCTTTGATGGTGGAAACTTGAATGACAATGTCAATGTGTGTGCTGGTATTTGATTGCAAAGGTAAAGGCATCAGGTTTGAACAACAATCACAGGGTGGGTTTATTTTGAATGGGCTGTCCTTTGTATTAATGATTAGACAGAGTCTGGCTCCATGTTGCATCTTTATATTCGTTTGTTTGTTTTTTTTTCAATGACCGATGGGTTTTGAAAGTCAATTTTGCACTTATAACACATTGTGGTAATCTAGGTTTTATTTTCTAAATTTATTTCGTAAGGACTATTTTTTATTTTTAAAATATCTAGATATATTTAGAAACTTAAGCATCTAATTTTTTTAAACAAAATAAATAAATTTATAGTTAAATAATTAAATAATTAATGTTCTTGTTCATAATTTTAGCTCACTACTAGTAACTTTTCTTTAAAGCTTACACAGTTGTTAAGAAGAGGTTTTTAGTTATAATGTTTGGTTTCTCTAATCTATTGTAATCTTTAAGTTTTTTAATTTGATTAATTACTATTTTAATCTTACAAAATTTTAATACTAAGCTTGTTAAGATTGTATTTTGGCCGAAATTTTAATACCAAGCTCATTAGCCTTAGACCAACGGGTTGATCTATACTATTTTGGCTGAAACCTTATTCAACTAAACAATGTAGTCGATCCTTCAAAGAGTCCTACCTACTTATTTGACCTGATGATGAAATTCTTAGCGTCGATCAAAGCTTCAAGAAGGAAATCAACTTATGTCTTTCATAATTATCACTCATACAAGTTTAAAATTCGAATTCTAACTACGTTCTAAGACAAACTAAAAAAATGCATCTTTAGTTCCTGCTTTCTAAGCTATCTACAAAACCGATTCCTAATCCTAATAGAGCAATGAAGTATCGGTGGCTTAACACCACGCTAGTGTTAGTTACTCTAGTTTTGAAGACATATTTCACTAAATAACTTAGCACTATACACTTTGTGATAATTTGTCACAAGAAAAATATATAGATTCGTTTAGAGAACCGAATCCCCAACTTATAACGATCTCCTCCGTGAATAAAGGAACTAATCTGTGAAACGAGATATTCCCAAACAGACTAACAAATCAATTTTCTAAATATAGTGAGGATGAACACATACCACTGTGTTCTTGTTGTTACTTTAAGAGAAATTCACGCCCAACCAAGCAAGTGCTTTGCAAATCTGTGATCTGCTTGATCTTTGCTCCTATAAATTCATCCCTTTGGCTCTGCAACAGAGACAAGCAGCAAGAAAAAAGCTAATTCATTATTCAATTGGCTAAAAAACGAACAAAAAAAAGAAAAAAAGAAGGGAAAATAAAAGAATAAGCAGTGAAGCAACGATCATGAATAAGTCTTCCGTTTCGATCTCTGTCACTTTTGTTCTATTATTCCTCTTAGCCTGCTCTGTTCCTGTTTCAGGCTTTAACATCACAAGGCTCCTCAATCGGTTCCCTGAATTTAGCGTTTTCAATGGATATCTGACGAAAACTCGTCTCTTCGAACAGATCAACATTCGACAAACTATCACCATTCTCGCCCTCGACAACGGCGTCGTCCCTAGCATCACTGGAAACTCTCTTGACGTAATTAAGCAGATTTTGAGTGCTCATGTTATTCTCGATTACTATGATTCTGCTAAGTTCAGGAAGCTCTCCAACAAGCCTACAGTACTTACTACCATGTTCCAGGCCACTGGCGACGCCGTGCGCGAGCAAGGGTTTGTGAAAGTTGTGCTGAACAGGAGAGGTCAAATCGAATTCGGATCTGCTTGGAGAGGCGCGCCTTTCACCTCTATGTTTGTCAGAGCTGTTGCCTCACAGCCCTACAATGTCTCTGTTATTCAAATCAGTTCTCCGATTGTGGTCCCTGGCATTGGCCGTTACAATTTGCCTCCTCCTGCGCCTGTTGCACCGGAACCAGATGTTGCTCCTGTTCCCGCTCCGACTCCATTGGCTGATACTCCTTCACCGGCGGACGAGTCTCCAGCCGATGCTCCCTCACCAGACGCTGACTCTCCAGTTCCGACGGCGGATGCGCCTGATGCACCGTCGAGTGCTCCTCATCCATCGGCTGATGACGAAGAGGATGCAGATGCACCGAGTCCAGACGACGAGGAAGACCATTCGGCAGCTTCACGTGGCCACATCGCCGGCGCCGGAGTGATGGTGGCCGGATTGATGTCACTCTACATGGCTTTCTAAATTCAGAAAATGTGAAGGAACGAAAGAGAAAACCAGAGAGAGAGAGATATCAACCGCGGAAAAGGAGAAAAAGTCCAATAATGTATGAGTAAACCTTGAACGGCGGGCAGGGTTTTCTTGCCGCCGGACACGTGGACAAGTCATACTCAAAATACAAAAAAAGAAAAAAAAAATCTCTCTCATCTTTGTTACACCGTTTTGCACTCCCTTTCTACTCCCCTTTCTCATTTCTCATCTTTCATCAAATAATTTGCAGTTAGAATTAGAACATCTAAACCATCCTTATTAAATAATATTAAATATTTTTAGATTAAATTAAAAATAAAGAAACAATCAACACGTGTGGAGAGACCTAATTTGATGGGTCGTCAAAAAAAAAAAAAAAAAAATGAACAAACACTATACTAAAATGTGCAATGGTAATAATGGTACACCTATGAAACATAACTAAAATGGTAAAAAAAAAAAGTGCAATTTATTGGAGTTATTTTTTAAAAATTTTATTTAGTTGGATTGATTAAGATTTTTGAGCTATTGAATTTTTTTAATATTCCTTAATACATGAGATTTGGGATAGTATGAAATCGAAGAAAATTAGATTAAACTTTACACTAATCCAAATCATTTCAATCGATTAACAAGACCAACCATAAAAGGGCCCAAAAATTATTGTATAGACTGAGCATATATATATCCACAACAGAGATCAGTGCGGGCTTCAAACTAAAATATCATCATGTTTCTACAACTCTACTCCCTACTAATTTACAACCTTTTCAAAGAAAGAAAAAATATATATATACAAATAAAACATATTTATAATCACAGAATACATAATAAAAATAATAAATATGCTCACTTGCATCATCATTTAATAAATACATACCAAACAGACAACAAATTAAAATATATACTTATACGTAGGAGGTACATGAATCACATTTAAACTATTTAATAATATTAAATAATATCATTTAAACTATTTAATAATAGGCATTCTCTTCAAAAAAAAAAAAAAAAAAATCAAATAAGAATTGTAAGATTGACATAAAGGAATTGAGAGAATATGACGTTAATTAAGTAACGAGAAAAACAAAGCATAGAGAATCACTCATTAATCGCTATAGATAATTTCAAATATAAATGAATATGTAAATTTGCTACTAAGATATAATACTTTATTAAATGAGAAAAGTAAAGTAATAATTAAGTTAGTAATGCAGAATCCAAATAATATGAAAATTAAGGTATTAAATATTCTGTCCTACCTAAACTAAGTAAGATATAAATTAAAAAAAGAGGCAGGGAGTACATATACCCTCCCAACTACCCTATTTGATTTCTTCCTTTTTAGCCTTTAGGAATAACTTCCTTAAGGTTGCTTTTAATTAATGCAATTAACTTAGAGCTATGGCGAACATATCCCTAATTTCATGTATTTAAACTAATTAATCTTTTCTTTATGGAGTACCTATCCTGTCACTAAAAGGACGAATCAACATTTCTCTCTTTTCCCTTAGGAAATGCCATGATAAATAGTTTATAAGTTTATATAATGATAATGCTGGAGGAAAACATAAACAATGGTTGTCAAGCATTTTCAATAAAAATACTCCATCGATCTAAAAAGTGAGAATCTTATGAGATTCTTAGATTCTAAATAAATAAATTTATAGAATAATTCGATGATTATAAGTGGAATACTAAAACATAAAATTTTAAAACTAGATATAGGTGAACCATTAGCTAATGATCTTGACAATAGGATTTTAAAATAATTATTTTAGAGGGGTGAACTTCAATCTTCTCTATTATTAATTAAGCTCAGATCAAATAGGTGATATACCTCTTAAAAAAAAATAAATAGGTGATATACCTCTAAAGAAAAAATAGGTAAAAAATAGGTAACACGATGACTTGCCTGCTTGAGAGATTGGTGGTTTTAACTCTATGAGGAGAGTTTTAGAAAAGGAAGGATTATGCATCTCTAATGAAGGTATATCTCTTAGTAATAGTAATTATTTAGTAATAATAGTAAAGGCTTATTGAGTCTAATCTTAATTGAGATCTATCAATTAGATGGTATTCACAAAAATGATGAGTAAGAAAGTAGAAAGAACCCTGAAAGAATTTTAGATTTTATTTATGCAAAAAGATTAAGAGATGTAAAAGAAGAAAGATTATGAGCTTGTAAAAAAAAGAATATGATACTCAACCTAAAGTAAAAATAATACGATACTCAACCTAAAGTAAATGCATAAATACTAATGTAGTAACATAATAAAAAGAAGTTATATTTTGTCCTAATACTTCTAAGAAAAAAATTATTTTACATCTATAATTTTTTTTTTTTTTTTTTTTTTTTTTTTTTTTTTTTTTTTTTTTTTTTTTTT